GTAGACATGGTTGTCCCTTGTCGCTCTGCATGCTAGATCATGCAGCAAATGACGCAGGGCGTGTTATAAGATGGCCATAAATTTATCTAAGTTACGTTCCGGGACCATCATCAGGTCCATCAGGACCAGGAGAACCAGTTGGCATCTGGCTGACCCGTGGATCCCTGGGAAGCCATAAATCAAGACCCCACCTAAATGACCACACACCACTCTCTATCAAAGGTTTACTGTTTAATCTATATAACTGACCAGACTGCTTTACATCACGTCAGGAGTCTTTTGTCTTTTTTGATTGTTGTAATGATCGTTATTCAATTAGAGTGTATGTTGACTGAGTGACCACTGCCTTGGAAAGTGTTTGATTTTCAATAGAAGCCCAAGTGATAGTAACTGAAGATGAACTGGTAAAATCTCACCCTGTTGATCTACTCAACCTGCTGCCTGACTTTCTTAACCTCTAGCTCTCTGAACGTAAAAGGCAGAAGAGGGGAATGCTAATATATACATTGAGGATAAAGAGGAAGGAGATCAGAGAAATCCAAATTAAATATGCAAGGACATCTCTTACGTGCATTAATGAAGAGGGAACGAGCGCTGTGTTAATGATGAGGGATTTGAGGCTTCCGTGTGAGAGTGGGATCAAGAATGCGCTGCTGGAGAGGCTCATTACTGTGGCCCACACCGACTCCTACCTGTGTGAGCATGCATATACGCATATTTTATGTGCGGGTGACAGAAGGAAATATAGAGTTCATGCACAGGGCTTTACAGGCTCGACTATGTGTATCATAATGTGTATCGATGGTTGGATATATATAGATAAAGCACACGCATGCATAGCGACATACATAAGCTAAAGAAAATAACACACATACATTAGAACATATAAAAGATGCAGAAAAACTTTAGTGTGAGTGTGTTCTGTCACACTGGGTTAGCTCTGATTAAAGCTGGGGGCTTCGACAAGCGGGATACATCCCTTGTGGTTTGTAACACTCTGGAATCAGGGAGCTTAACAAATCATACATACTGCACTGCAGGCTGTTGCTCGAAAGTATTAGATTAACTAATAAAAAAAATAGAGCATGAAAAAGCTAAATAAACCACCTTACCACAATCTAGGGCTGTTCTCATATCAGAGTTTACCCAAATCAAGGCATCAATTTGGGCTGATACTTAATACTGGTTTTATTTAATGAGGTGGTTCCTACTTTTTGTCATCCATTTCCTTATTTTTGTATTTTTTTAAATATTCAACATCAATACACTCTAGCTAGGATTATGACTAATACTATAATATTCATGGCCTTCACCCAGTTACACTAAAGTGCAGTACACCTACAGACCAGGCACCATACACTAAACTCCTACAGTATACAGCCTACATGTGAATATGTAGACTCACATTTTATTGGCTAAACTCAAATCTTACATGATTATCACCTATGATGTGAAAACAGCAGATTCCTGCAGTCAATGAAATAAGCAGCGAATGTCCTAATCATAGTTCGGTAATAAAATCCTGACACACTGTAGAGCGTCTGTCCTGTGTATTGTTGGCATAGATGGTATAGTGTTGATTAAACTGGGAGGCAGTAGAGGAAGCAGATTCAGAGCCAGATATTGAGTGTATTTTTCACATAAGAGGAAGAAAAGTAACTATTCCTCACAATTGAGAAGTTATAACAAAGGAATGAAAAAAAGTCTATTGGCAGAAATCGAATATAATATTCCTAGGTATGTTTTCATATCCTGAACAAAAGAATTGTTTTGTTTTCGTTAGCTCAAAATGAGTTGCTGTTGAACTGCCATGTTTCAACAGTAGCCCAGAACAGTCAGACTGCAACTATCTGCAGGCCACTCTAACTGAACACAAACTGACTGCAAAACATATAAAAAGTCAAATGCCCCTATCTACAGCCAGTTTTTGGTTCGTTTCTTCTGGACTACTGGAGAAAGAAAGAGGGATTTGAGGGGGGATGAGGAGGGATGCTATCCCCCTTGTTAGCAAAATGACTAAAATGCAGGCCCCTTGTTATCCTGCCATCCCCCCTTCAAGATCACTAATAGGTGGACCATGATCTGGGTCGGGACCCAGATGGCGACCTGTAACACATAAATTATTAAGAACTATTTAATTTTGTCTGAGTGTTTCTATTTCAACCAACGCAGCTTTTTCTTGCTTTTACGGTTAGAAAAGCTGCACCCTGGGTAAGCACTGGTTTAGCGCCCCTGGAAACTTACAGACCAATTGCATATGCTGTAAATCACCTCACGTGATGCCACTCAGTCAATCAAATCTGTGCATTCTGGTAAGCATTATGACCTGACTCAGTGTGTGAGACACACACACACACACACTGGCGAGAGACTAGACAAGAGACAACAGTTGGAGGAATAAGTGAGTCAGAGAAAAGTAATTTCACATGGCATGCTCTGATAAAAAGAATGGTGAGAGAAAATTTCCTCAAGCAAAGGTTGGGAACATCATGATGTCTAACTTTAGCGTTATGAACTCATTGATCCTTTGACTGACTGAGGTTTGCGCAAGTTCCCGTGTCCCAACCATGGCTTTGAGATACAGACTCTGCTGTGTATAAATCCATAGCGCTGTCCGTGGTGGTGAACTAACAGACAGCTTTTTCTCTCTTTGTCAAACTTCTGTCAGTTTCATCTTGGATCCATAACATTCTTATTCTCAGCTTACTTAAAATAACTTCTCATTACTAGGGTGCTCCCACTGGGCCATCCCCCTTGTTAAAAATTAACAATCACCTACAGTGTAATAATGGTAATATGGTGGTCATGATGGCAGACTATATGCAGGCAAGCTCATTCTAAGGCAACGAAAACACAACGCCTCTTATTTTCAGGTGATTATAGATTCATGAAAACATACCTCTGAATATATATCATATTGTCATTATTCATTATTGAGCCTCCTAAATGTTACACAATGGACCTTCAAACAATTAATTGATTATCAAAATGAAGTTTTCTGTCTAATGAGTAAACGTGTCAGCTCATTACCCCTCTCTGTTTCCGTTAAAGTTACACTAGATTTGCAGTTAGGTCATTTTGAAACATGACTAGTTTTGTAACCTGCCATGCTGTTATCTGGTGTTACTACTTACTGTGCAATGACAATGAGGTTAGAGCCTATTTTAGTTAACACCTGGCCTTCCAAGGTGTCCTTAAGTAAAATACTGAATCAACTGTAGGGATAGTTGTGCGTCTGAGCCACCGCCTGACCTCCCAGAACTTTTAAGCAAGACAAGAGGGAATTCTTGCTTGGATTAGGCATGAATTTTCATGTGAGCTCAAGGTGAAAGTAGTAATTTGAAGTCAGGATTATAATCAGCTTTTAAGGTGAAAGCAGAACACAGAGCATCCAAAATACATTTTGAAGTTGGTTTTGAAATCTTAGAATTATCTGAGGAAGAATCCCTCATTTTAATTACTACACCATTTAAAACCTTGCTGATCCCAGTAAAAGTGATTTGAGTAATATATGTGCTAAAATGTGTAATTGTCCATGAAACAATTCCAAACACATGACAGTACTTTATAAAAAGTAATTATTTTTAAAGTCAAAGAAAGGTGTATTATTTTGCAGTGAGCCGAGCAGTAAACATCAATCACACCTTCAGTAAAGTAGAAAGAGCTATTATGCTTGTCATGGATGGCTGGATAGAAAATTAAATATGTGTTAAATAATAAATTATCAAATGTACAAATGTACATGAACAGGACACATCTTTCTATGGTGTAAGCAGTTGTAAACACAAGACTGATTTGAAGAAAGGCTATAGGGTAAAAATGAAATCAAGTAGTATTAATCACTTCAGTATTATGACAGGCAATACCTCTCACTGCTTAGCAACCAACTCCTGCAGGGCAACAATCGGAGTGATGAGATTTGCCAAGGGATCTCCTCTCCAAAGTTATGAAAGTGTCCATTGTGTGGCAGCAGATATCTTATACATATTGTTCTCTCTCACTGTTCAGCAGCTCCTGTTGTGTTTCAGCTGCTGTTATTAATTATTCAAACAAACATATAAGAGGATCAATAAAGCAACATTGCAAATCATAGTTTTTCTGTTTCATAAAGTATTTAATAGCAGGCACAGCTCCCGTTCTCTGTTCTGTGAATTGCATACATACTCTTTGGCTTTGGCTACACAGAATATGTGACATATACAGACCGATGTGATGGAGAATGTATCTTTTTCTGGCTTAACTTGTAACGCAATTACAGTGTAGGGTTGTGTGATGGACGCAGGAACTAGGGGAGCAGCACCCTCTAAAATCAGGCATTATCAAAACCATTAATGAGTTACAAAAATGTGATGCAGACTGGCAACAGAGAGGGAGACAAAGAGAGAGCTCTTGTAGATGAGTGTGTGAATATGGACACAAGTATTGACGTGATAAAAACTTTTTTTGATCATGAAGCCTAATGCTACTCTGGTATTCTGTGATCAGTGGAGTGTATGAACTGCTCTGCAGACTGGAGTCTGTTAACAGTAGCAAATAGACAAATCTGCATTATATACGTCTCACTGCGCTGCATAATTATGAACTATGGCCATCTCTCTCCAACTGTGACTGACTGACCAGCGTCCCATATGTGTGAGTGGCAAAACAAGACAGTGAGCCTTCATTTTAGAAATTGTGTCCTCAGTTTTTGGACCCAGCACAGCAATTTTAAACCTCAGCTTGTCCCCCTGTTTGTGTAATATTGGTAAGTTAACATCTACAAACTACATTTCCCTGCCATTCACTCTGCTATCTCTCCTCAGATATTATAGAATATAGACACTTTATGACCAGTTTCTGTGTAAAAGGGCTGCGCACATACCCGCCACTTAAATGCTGCTCACAGGCCCAGTGTAGCCAGTTTCAATGATTATAGCAGTAGTGTAGTGTTCAATGTAGCCAGCCCATAAGAAGTCTGTAGTTAAATCTACACAAACAAAATTGCTGTGTTAATGTCTTACCTTAAACAGGCGTAGTATGTTGGCCACCATGATGGAGACGGAGCTGGAGGAGGCTCCAATGACGCCCACCACCCTCTCAGGTTTGGTGATGATTGGCGATCCCCCGCCCAGACATTTGACGTCTGTGCCGTCCTTTTCAATCAGAGCCTGCACGAAGGTGAGTGACTGCTCCAAGGCGTGAGTGTCCCTGGAACAGGTGTCCAGGACTCGTGCTCCCAGTGTGATGTTAGGCAGCAGATTATTATCATTATTGATGCGGTCAAGGGCAAAGAGCATGGCCTCCAGTCTGTGTATACCCTTCTCCTTCTTCAGCTCCCCACATGGCTTGCCATCGTGGCCCCTGGCGTGTACTGGGAAGAGCCCACCTAAGGAGATATCCCCGTCAATGCGGATAGAGTTCAAATGTGTGTGTCCCGGCCCTTTGGGTTTGGCAGCCTGAGACGCCTTAAGGGAGCTGTACAGAAGAAGCAGCAGCAGCAGTGGTACAATCAGGCTGTTTCGTCGACAGCCGGTCCGATCCGGTCTGCACGCCGGGGGTTGAAACATGACCACGGTCCGAGCACACATCCACGCCATACAACCAAACCCAGCAATCAGAAAACAACAGAAGCCAGGTATTATTTTATGATGGCCAGAGGGTTAATTGCAATACCTCTTGAAGCAGCTGGCACAGAAAAGGCTTCCTCTCATGTCTCTCCTCTCTCCCAGGCATTCAATTAATGTAGAATATGAGCTTGGCTCTTTCACAGGATGTAATCCTGTTCTCTTTTCCTCTTTCACTCCCTCACTCCATCATCTGACCACAGTGGTGGGCAGCTGCTCTTGTGTCTTCTGTTATTCACAGACTTGCCTATGGAGATCCTTCACTTGGGGCATTAGGAAGAACAAAGGTGAACGATAAGCTTTTTCTCTCTGTCTCTCCCCTCCTCTCTCTCTCTCTGTTTCTTTCCTCTCCACCTCAATCAGAAGTTTTTAATCTCCCCTGCTCCCCTGGGCAGGGATTTGGTATATGTCAGAGCCCTCAGGCCTGCTTAGGTCCACAGGCTTCAGAGTGAATTCCTGAAAGATGAAAAAGAGAAGAGTAGTGAGACAGTGCACAGAGAAAACAGAAAAAAGGCAAAGGCATTGGTATTGGTACGAGCTTTTCAATACCTATTTCTTTCTTAACCTTTTTACTGCAGCATTATGTGGAATGAAGAGACAGTTATGCTCCCAAAACTCATTTATTTCTCTTATGTAGTATTCCTACGTCTACCATTTTGAATTCTAAAGGTTTCCATGAACTCTCAAGGTTGACAGGGCTGAGTGTCAGATCTCTGTGGTTCATTTTCATCTATCAACCTTGTCAGCGGATACATTCAGTCTGTATCACAACATTGTGACAATCCGTCTATTATGTTTCTTATTTCTGCTGTTGATTTTACTTCAAACTGGCGAATTGAAGCTTTTTTATGGTTACACAAGACTGTGCCTTTGCTATTGGCAGTAGTAGTTAGGTTGCTGCTGTCTTGGTACTTTGCTAAGAAATTATCATTTTCTGAGAAAATGTATCACCATTGCTGCCACATTATTTCTTCAAAGCCTGTCAAATCATTAGTAACATTAGGGGTTTAAAGGGAAGTTCAAAAGAACTGAATAGGCTACTGATGAAGCTGATATCTCTTTGTACCAAATAGACCACTCCAGCATTACCTAGGTATTTCTGCTTACTACAGGCAAAATCAATTACATATATTATAATAGAATTCATATGTGGGTCTCAGGGTCTCTTAAGCTTGTCTCAGTCTATGCCTTGCAGGGTAGAAAAGTACAACATACCGAGGGGGGTATGGTCTAAGAAAGAGTTTTAAATCGTAATTATGCTATTACAGATGGAGAGCAGCTTTTATATCCAAAGTTGGTATGGAGAAAAATATCCACCTTAAGAAATCACTGCATGAAGCAAGCAGACTTCTGATTCTAAGCAGCCATTAACACAGCAGAAGATACAGTACATTTTCAAAAATGACTGAAATATCATCCAGATTACTGGTGCCTGTAATTTAGCCCAGGAAGGATTATAAATATTTTACACATACTGATCACATGTAGAAACAGAGCTTCGACGAATTGAAATATTGAAGCCAAAGCCTTAATTTCAGCTCTATGATGGCAGTCGTACCTCACTAATGCAGCAACTTATCGGTTAATCTGCTGATTATTTTTTTGTTTAAAAGCTTGAGCTACAAAACATCAAAACTACATTATTACATTTTATGACTGTAAAAGGTGAATCCTTACACTAATCTCATAAATGTTTTTTAGCTTTATACTTAAACTACATCTGTTTTGATGCAGTTCTGTTAATTGTTTCACTACCGTCACAGTTATTAGGCACAGATTCTGTACAGACTCAACTGCTGCAAACAAGCCGGTGAGATACATAATGCAGATTTAAAGCTTTTGGAGTTTCTTAGCTCTATCCTTTAATGCACATTTACACACCATGACACTTTCATTCCCTCCCTTTTCTTTTCTTCTCCCTCTGACACAAATAATACATGCATGCCATATAGACACAAAATATGCCACTACAAGCTATCTTGTATGTACATATCTACACCCTGTTCATTCCCGAAGCTGTAATAGGCTCTGAAGGAACAATCTCCCTGCACACAGTCCCAGAATGGGCTGTAGACATTGGTTTTCCACCGGAGTGGGTTGAAGCCTTGGATCGGCAACGGCTGAGATTCATTGAGAGCATATTGGAAGTGACAAGGTCCTTTGAATACACCCAACTATCTCCTACTGAGTGAGAAGTAATTTTTCAGAGTTGATTCACTGCAGGTCCACTTTAACTGCTGCAGAGCAGATGACAACTGGAAAGCCAGCCAATTCACCTTAGCCCCCATAACCAAATACAAACCATGCACCAGCATATCTAACATCAGAGCATTCACTCAGGAGAAGGCAGTGAGCTGCCAACACAGCTCTGTATAGATAGGCGAAAGGGAAAAAATACAGCTGTAAACATTGAAGAATTCAAATAAGAAACTGTTCTGCAAGACTGCAGATTTCAAGACAGATGTCATCAAACTTCATGTTTGTACAAAATACAAGCTGGTGGGGAGACAGCTCATATGTCTCCCTCAGACTGAAAAACAGCTCGCCAATCTAAAAGGAATATCTCGAGTGCAACTGCAAGAAAAAGATCTTACACCTTGCAAGATTACATTAAGCATTATCGTGTTAATCAGCTTGTTTTGTCTCTTTCCAGATGGATATCTTATAGTGTTTCCTCTTTGACCACGATGTACATAATTCATTCTTTAATCTTAAAGATCTCAGAGCTATGGGGGGTGGGCTGGCTATATCCACTGAATAAATCATTTCAGAAACAAGCATCACTCTGTTGAAACCTATGAATCCCGTTTTAATCAAGCACCAGGGTAAGGGTAGACCACCTTTCAGAGCTCTATTCAACGACACGTAGTGAAGTAGTAACTGAATGGAGAGTGTAGTATTAGCATACTCAGTGAAATCCGGTTACACATTATCAGTGTTTTCACTGTCCGTCTTATTTCCAGAACTCAGCGGTAATATGCTGTATGTAACATAGATTTGACTGTGTGGCTCATGTTACAATTTCCAAACCCGACACATATCTGCTTTTGAGGCACTGCAACAAACACAGTGCTCGGAAGAAGAAAAAAAAAACAGGTTACAGTGGTATTGACCGAAAAGACAAACTGTGTGTATGTTTACAGATTACCCCATAATGGCATACCTCAATAAGCAATGTACAACAGAGACTTGAGAAAAACAAACAAAAATGCTTACCAGCAACAAAATGTCAAAGACAGCTGCAGGAATTACAGGAGATTCATATCAGGAGAACAACCTTTCCTCAGGTGCAAAAGCATGTTTCAGAATTACTATGCATTTGTTTCAAAAGGCCATACAATAACCTTCAGGCAAATAAGTGTGTTGTCACATGACCATACAACCTACACCAGTACATACAGTAAAACCTTGACCTGATAAGGGCAAAACCAAAATCTGTTTACAATGATATTTCTTCAACAATTTAAATATGTTTTTCTGTGTTTACTTTTTGCACATTAAAGATGCCAGTTTTGGCAACCTTATTGTCGAAGATTTAACTTATTCTTGACTGAAAGATTATCAAATAAAACATATTTTAATGTTCACAGGAAGACACGGTGTGGGTGTTGTTTTACATTGTGTCGGTCTCGCATCGCCTACACATCTGTCACCAAGATTAGTTTTCAAGTATACAGACAATTTTGATATATGGATATAGGAAGTGTTGTAATGGTTTGGTGGTGTTTGAGGGAGGACTAGAGACAGTTTGTGTTTAAATAGAGCATAAATAGCTAAGTCATTGGGGAAGATGTGATCTAGAAAGATCTGCAAACATACTGTAGACTCAGGTTGCTAAGAGTAACAATGCTGCAAACACAATTTCATTTCAGTGAGAAGTATGCGTCCCTTCCACTCTCCTCAACCCGCCTGCCCTTACAAATGCACTTGACTGGAAAAAAACTTAAGATGTGTTCCCTTTGAAGATGAAGAATGTGTTGTGCAGACCGGCCCCTACACCTTGAAACTCCCTCATATTTTTTTACCACTTTTACAGCTCCGGCCCAAGCATTTTATAGTCCAATCAGCACTGCAAAAGGAACATAATAAATACAAACAAGAGTACATCTGAAATAAATGTGTATTTATATTCGGCAGATTATTCCCCTCTTCATGTTCTGAGACCTGAGCAGCTGCTGGTTGGCAAAGCCAGCAATGGAAACTTTTAGAGATCTGCTGTAGCTCTCCTCTCACAGATGGGCAGGAGGGGCTCTCTAATTGACACTCCAGCATGTTGATGCTGCACAGCAGATCAATAGGAAGGTAGAGGAAGGCTGCCCTGAGGAAAATGAATGGAGAGAGCAGGGCTAAGCTGCACACGAGGACTGAAGAGCTTAGAAGAGGCAGCCACTATGTTTCTAGTGAAAGGAAAAATTACTGAAATGAGCCTTAAAAGGATGCATCAATAAGAATGGATCAAACTTTCAATGTTGCTCTTTGTTCACATTTGGGGGTAATACCTTAATTTTTGAACAGCAAAAACAGAAAACTGCAATGCAGTTAGTGGAATACACTGAATTGAGCTTGCCATCTGTCACAGATCTGCTTTTTTAGCACGTCAACCCGGCTTTTCCCAGCCTGAAAAATTCTGACACTGTTCTAATAGAAAAATGTTTTGTTTCACCAGCAGTTTTACTGTATTATTGTGAGCCACATTGCCATTTTCAGAATCATATTGTGCAGCATTATATTGCATTCCTGTGCCAATCTTTAATCAGCATCTATAGTTACATGAGGTAAAAATAGGAAATTATTTAGTGTTACAATTATAAAAGTGCTGTTTGTCTCCTCGATAATTAGATTAATTGTCTTGTGTAAAAAATATATAATTTGGTGGTGATGTCTTCAAATGTTGTTTAGCCCACCCAACAAAACCTGCAGATATTCAGTTTACAATTATATAAAATAGAAAAAAGCAGCAAAGAGTAATATTTATCAAAATAGTAATTGTTTAAAATAAAAGTTTTTTATTTACTATGATATACTGTATCATCAATCCAAGGGTCATTATTTTGAAAATGTTACAAAATATAGGTTTATATTTTTCTCAAGAGATAGGGATTTATGAAGACGTATAAAACCACTGCATAGTCACTACAACAGCATGTGCAGAAAATCTTCCAGCCTTCATACGCCCCCATGCATCACTACAGAAAATGTCTTGATGAACACAGTCTTTATTGCTAGCTGTCACACTATGCATTTGAGACAAAGAGCAATCTTGATACCAGTTTGTGTCAGACTTCACAATAGAGAGAAGCCTCCACTCACTCAGATTTGTGCAGTCTGAATGTGGGGTTTTCTTCTCTCTTATGTTTCCAAGTGTTTTTAAGCTGCAGCACCTCAGCCAAGCCTTGCAGAGGCTGTGCTGTGTTTCCCTCCATTTTTGAATACTTCACAATAATAACTGATTACAG